AGGTGAATTTATTTTTGATTACATTTAACATAGAGGTGACTTTAACTCACTTTAGTGAATTTTGAACAATCACAGTCATCAGTTTGGTTTGGTACTTTACATTTCAGAATGCGCCTAAATATGAAGTAGAACCGTTCTTTTGAAATTTTTTATTTTTATTTTTTGTTAACGGTGGACAGAAAAAAAAAAGACGCGATCAGCTGCACGCTCACGTTTATCCTTGGTACCTGGATCAAACCAGATGCTCTTTCAGCTCTTTTTAAAACTGGCTTTGGATAAAAAAATATAATTTTAAACAAAATAGCACGCAGAAGGAATTGAGCTGCACGGGGTCCTGTTCTGGTCTACTTCCAACTCCTCAGCACAGCTGAGTACCACTGGCCCGCTGCGGTGCGCCTCATAAGAAACACACCCACAAACTCTGGACCTATCACACACTGAGAGCCGCAACGTCTTGTCGGCACAGTTCTGACTGGGGGCAATGCACAAGACGGCTGTCCCCGGGGGATAACAGCGGGAGAGCAGATGGAAGTTGCCCAATTTTTTGTCACTCAGCAGGGGGGAAAGACGTGCAACTTGAAGTATAAACTAGGCTTTATGGAGATCAGAGTGGCCAGAAAAAAAGTACTGTGAGAAGCTGAAAAACAGGTTTTCAGCAAACGACCCGCTATTGTGGAGAGGTCTCACTGACATCACTGACTACAAGATCCCCCCCCCCCCACCCCCGCTGCTAACAAAGGTCTGGCAGATGATCTGAACGACTTCTTTTGTAGGTTTGAGAGGGACAACATCACACCTCCTAATTTCCGCAGCCCAACACCCTCCCCCATCACACGTCTGACTGCACCCCAGTCCTCACCATTGGTCATCCAGGACGCACCTTTGTTCTGAGAGGATCACACCTCCAACTGCATATCCTACCCCATCACAACTCTGATTGCTCCCCTGCCTCCACCGTTGGTCACCCAGGCCACACCTATTATTCCAAAGGAGGACACCTTCACACCTCTTCACACCTCCAACTCCATATCATCCCCCATCACACAACTGACTGAACCCCCACCTCTAGCCATCCAGGCTGCGCCACTAATCCATGTAGAGGAGGTGAGTCGGCTTTTCCACAGACAGAAAACCAGGAAAGCACCAGGCCCTGATGGTGTTTCCCCTCCTGCCTCAAAACCTGTGCAGACCAACTTGCCCCAATCTTCACCACAATCTTCAATAAGTCACTAGAGCTGTCAGAAGTTCCCTCCTGCCTGAAACGTTCCACAATCCTCCCCATTCCAAAGAAGCCCACGATCAAAGAACTAAATGACTACAGACCTGTGGCTCTGACATCTGTGGTGATGAAAACATTTGAAAGGTTGGTGTTGGCGCACCTGAAGGAGGTCACAGGAGGCCTATTGGATCCCCTGCAGTTTGCCTACAAGGCAAACAGGTCAGTGGATGATGCAGTCAACATGGGACTGCAACATCTTGATCACCCAGGAATTTATGCAAGGATCCTGTTCATTGATTTCAGCTCCGTGTTCAACACCATTGTCTCAGGAACTCCGCCAAACTCTCCAAGCTTACTGTATTTCCTGCCATCTGTCAGTGGATCACCAGCTTTCTGACGGGTAGGGAACAGCAAGTGAGGCTGGAAGAGGTCACCTCCAGTATCTGCACAGTCAGCACAGGAGCCCTTCAAGGATGCGTACTATCACCGCTGCTCTTCTCTCTTTACACCAACGACTGCACCTCCAGCGACCCTTCTGTTAAACTACTGAAGTAAACAGACGACACCACAGTCATTGGTCTCATCGAGGACGGGGATGAGTCTGTATACAGGACGGAGGTTGAACAGCTGGTGCTCTGGGGTAAGAAACACAATTTGGAGCTAAATACACTCAGAACAGTGGAGATGACAGTAGACTTCAGGAAACACCCCCCAGAATGACTCCCTCTAACAATATTTGGCAGCACTGTGTCTACTGTGGAAAACTTCAAGTTTCTGGGAACCATCACATCCCAAGACCTGAAGTGGGAGACCAACATCAACTCCATCCTCAAGAAGGCCCAACAGAGGATCTACTTCCTGCTGAAACTAAGGAAGCTGGGTCTGCCACAGAAGCTGCTGATCCAGTTCAGAGACCGGCAGAGGAGGCTCTTGATGTGCGTGACATGCATCAAGAGAAATTTTGACGAGTGTCTGAATTCAAAGTGCACAAGCGTCCAACTTGAAGCATTTGACGCATTTTTGACACCCAAATCACATTTGGTGTGAATGCAGCATTATGCTAGTGGTTCCCAGACTTTTTTTTTTCCCAGAAAGCCACCCTTATTTTACCAACAATCTTCAACCCTTCCCATCACGTGATGCATCAACAAAGGACAAAGATATTCAAAACCCTTTTTATTTTTTTATATAAGGCAAGATATGTTTCAAATGCCACAAGCTGCTGATACTTTGTTGAATTATTTTTAACAGATACACTGTAATTTTACTATTTTATTGTTTGAAATAACCTTGAAATTTAGGTAATTTTTCTTTGTTTCTCTGATTTTTTTCTACTTTTTTCCCCTCATTCTTTGTCCTTTAACATCGCAGCATCCAACTCAAGCCTGTTACACACATAATGTAGCAAAGCACATGGCATGACAGCAATGTTCATCCTTTTTCATTTTCAGCGGTGTGGATTGTTTCAGTGTGAATGCTCACGCACATGGACAAACCAGTAATTCAATAACACGCATGCACTACAGCTGGTATTATTCTAAAATAATGAAAAATATGCAGCTGGAGAAAAATAACAGTCAATGATTTATGAATGATCAACAATTAAATCCAATTTTTCTCTTCACAGGGCATTATCTTTCCACAGTAAATAAACTATTTGTAGCTTACATTTATGTGCACATTTGATTAAACCTAGAGTACAAGATAATTGGGCTAAACATTATTGTGTTGTGTTAAAAAATGCCACCAAAGCTTATATTACTTTATACATTGTGAAAGCATAAAAGTTCAAACGTTTCCATGTCTGAACCTTAAGTGAGCACACCTCTGCCCTGTATTAGCTGAACAGGATGATGGTTTAAATCACAGTGACAGCACACTTTTTATATTCTATCTGAAGTCCAACTGATGCAACTACATGATCGGATCTTCGTGAAGTATTGATGAGGACGCTGCAGGAGCAGCAGAAAAAATCCATCTGCTGTGGACAAAAAGATTTCTAAGAAAGAAAAAAAGACTTTCATTTGCAGGTGTCAAGAAGACTCACAACATCATCACAAGAGCCTGCTCATCTAATGCACAGAGGAGTTTTTTTTTTAACCAAAAGTCTGGAGGAAATGAAATAGCTCCTCTGATGGTTCTGTGAGTCTGATTTACAACTGCAAATTGAGTTATTTTATGTAGGCATGCATGATGGACACGATTTGTCTTCTACAGTCATAGTAAAAAAAAATGACTCAACCCTTTTTAAAGTTTTAAATTAAAAAAATATAAGAAAAATTTTTTTTTTTCCGTACCAGGTCCTACAATTAAATTCAACCATAAATAAATTATAACATATGATACAGTATATTCAACCATGTCACAATTTCACAAAACTAGCTCAAAAATAGAAGCAATGAATGCAAAACCAATGTTGACCCATAATTGATTCACTTATAGAACAATTTTTACTAGCAATAACTTGAAGTAATCATCTTCCGTATGACATATTTTAGTCTCTTATATCACTACAAAGCATTTTTACCTATCTGTAATTTCAGCCCACCCATCTTTTTGGTTGTTCTTCTAAGTGTGTACTGACCTAATTTAACAGACTACGTTAAGAACAAGTTATTTCTTTCTACTACATTCAAAAACCTTGGGACGACTCTTTACCCTGACAGAGGTTTGTAGGCTTGTTTAGTGTACTACAAACAGGAAAGCACACAAGAGGCAATGCATCAGATGCAACTATGTTTCAGTTTTTTAAAGAATATTTTATGCTCCCTCACTGAACTGAAGAACTAGCAGCTGCCTGTTCAAGCCCTGGGTCTTTTTATTGGACATGAATTTTGGAGGCTCTGGTAATTTTTTGTAATTTGGCATAGCTACAAATTACATTTAGACATTCATAAAAGTCTCAGTGTCATTTTTGACTAAACAACACTTTTATTTGGAATGGTAGCATGTATTTCTACTAGATTTTCAATCATTTGCACTATATATGGCTGGGCGATATGGCTGAAAAATGAATCACAATTTAAGTGTTTCATTTCATCTAATATCAATGATTATTGATTAGTTTTTATTTCTGGTTTACCTATTTGAAATAAGGACCAGGACTAAGGAATGCCAAACTGGTGAAATGACTTTTCCCCTTTCAATCTTTTAAGCTATTTGCACTCAGTTTCTCCTTTCACTCTGCGTCGTTCTTTTATTTTTATTTTTAAGCAGTTATGAGACACTGTGGCGAAACATGAAACTGCCACTGCACATGTTACTCAAAATGTTGTTGCTAGCTGACCAAATAGCGGGTGAGTTGGTGCCACCATCAACCATCAGATTGTGTTGTCATCAAAATATGTGGTTTGGTCCGTAACTTATTTCCTTATGTAAATTCTGTAAATTTCTGTAAACTTCATAACCACCGTGGGGCTGACCGCAACTAATTCATACTGTAAAGCCAGAGTAAGACAAAGAATAAATTGCACCAGTTTGGATAGAGGAGGTGGGTAGTGATTTAACAGCTTCAGTAGGTATGTGTTGTTACAATCTTTGGTCCCGGTCCGTCTGTAATTTTTATTTCCCTGCGTAAATTTCATAAATTTTTGAAAGGGGAGTTATCAATGCTGTACTGTACATCTTTTCTATTGATATTGGTCATGTGTCTATCACGAGATATATCATCGCCCAGCCCTTATTTGCACAAAGCCTGGTGAAAAACAAGTACAAACTAATCATATATGGTTTGGTGTTCAGGCAAGAACTAAAGGACATGATCAAAAACCAGCTGACTCACCTGTAAGTTGGCACACGTGGAGAACATACAAGCACTGTCCATTGGCTTGATGGCATTCTCATGATTCTCATGTAGAGAGGGAATGGGTTTGGAAATGATCGTTGGCTGGGCAGGTAGCAGAAAAGTATTCGTGGGCTCGGTCACAGAAGAGGTCACTCCTTCTGAGCCATATCCAAACGACAAGATGGCGTTTTCTGAGAGGAAACAAAGAGACAAAACATGAAGTAGAAGGCATTAGGAAAACAACAGATGTAGTCAAGTCAAAACACATGGACAAAGATTTCCACCACAAAAATTATTTCAACATTTGTTATACTCACTAAAAGCCACATCGCTCTGACAACAAAATTACTGTTTGCTCACCAACAGACAAATCACTGTTTTTACTTCTTGTCAATCTGCCCACCCCCCGCTAGACAAAAAAATAAAATGATTGTTGAAAATTCTTTGTTTTTCTTCACTGCTCCCCCCCCCCAAAAAAAATAAAAATACAATAAAAAGCAAAGCCTACTTTATATATATTTTTTTGTTTTTGTAACCATTCACTCACGTCAAGTCAACATTGTCATTACAAAACAAAATATTGAGTTTAAAATAAAAACTCTGGGAATAAGTTAAGCTCTTAAGACTTGTTTAAAAATATTACATTTTTATGGCACTGTGGCTCAGTTTTGTTGCCTTTCAGGAAGACGATTGCTGGATCAAAGCATAGGAACCTTTCTGGGTAGAGTTTGTATGTTCTCTCCGTGCTTTGTGGGTTTGCTTTGGGCACTCCGATTTCCTCCCACATACAAAAAACATGAATGTTATGCTTGGTCACACAGCAAGATAATTATGCAGATTTTTGACCTAATTTTGCCTTTCCGACAATCTTTAGTACACCATGATTATTGCGATGGCTCTAAATATAATCATATTCCCGCAGTGTGTGAAGAGTGATTTAGAATTAATTAGAATTAAGGACTGTCTGTCTGATCTCAAATTGTAGATATTCAACATGTTGGATTGTCTTGGCCTGATATCCCAGCATGCTTGGTGTTGCCCGAGGACACATGAACTTGCAACCTGTTGAATGTGACGTGTAGCCAATCAGAGAGCAAGATAATGAAAACACAGTGGGGAATCCAACATATAGCAGACAAAACAACTGCCATGGAGCACCAGAAAGTCCAGTGGACATCAGAGATATCTTTTTTTCCTGTTAAAATATGACACAAACCACTGCAGTCATGGTCTGCCATATTTATTTACTTTGAACTTACGTTTGATCTTATAAGGTTTTGCGAGATTTCCCTTCTGACATCTGAATAACTGTGAGTGAAATCTGTGTGCGTGTGATGTGTTGACTGTTCACCACACACTGTAGGACCAAACTTGCTAGATCTCTGATTTTTTTATCGTTATGTTTGGGATCTCAGATTTTTTTAAATAAACTATTCATTTTAAATTATTTCCATGTGAACCAGGCATTAGGCTCATTGATAACTAAATTGTCCCCCACTGCACATACATTGACACACAGCTACTGCCCCTACAGAGTACTTGGCGTCTGTCTGGATTCATAAAAAATAAAAGTAAAAGAAATCCATCAAGCTGCAACAGACACACAAACAAATCCAACCCTTTAAGCTTGTCGAACTTGGACTCTGGTGTATAATACGCATTTTGATCCATTTTGATGTGGCTGGCGAACGTACAATATTCACGGTCTTTTGAGGCTCCTGCTTGCTTCATATCAAGAAAAGACGGTTGTTGAATTGGGAGAGATTCCTCAGTAGCACCTGAGATATAGATGTTGTTAATGTAGCATTACTGTCAGTGTTTAAAGTCTTGCTGATAACCAGGCTGGATTTTAGGCTGAGCAGACACCTGCTTGGGAACCACAAGTGGCTCTTCTAGGAAAACAGGAGATTACTCAAAATGTGTAAAGTCTTGTTTAGTAAAGCTTTGTGTTTCCTCCCCAGCTGTAAACAACAAAGCTTGCTGTCACAGGTGAAGCAAAACCCCTCAAAAAGTAGGTTGTTCAGTAAGTTTAAAATACGGAAAAAGTTTTGTCTGTTCCTTTTCACAACTTTAACATTTAAACAATCGACTCTAAAAAAGCTCAACCTCCACCTGCCTTAATGACTACAGGCTCATAGCGCTAACAACAGGGGTTGACAAATATTTTGACAGATTGTTGGCACAGCACATCAGAGTGCCTCTTCCCTTCCTTTGATCCTCATCAATACACATACAGAGCTAACAGATCCATTGCTGATGCCATGTCCACTGCCCTCTACGCCACTCTGACCCACCTAGAACTACAGAAGTCCTAAATCAGAATGCTCTTCGTCAACCATAAGTCCGAAATCCTGGTGGACAAACTGGCTGAACTAGACTTCCCTCCCGCCACTTCTGCCTGGATTGAGGACTTCTTAACAAATAGTCCTCAACCTATAAGGATTAATGCACACAGCTCCTCCACACTGGCTTCCCCTAGGGCTATATGCTGATCCCACTTCTATTTGTCATCTACACCCCCGACTGCACCCCCCGTCACTCCACCAACACCATTATCAAGTTTGCAGATGACAGTACTCTGGGACTTATAATTGGTGGAGCCGAGTTAGCATCTCAGCAAAGCTCTCCTGGTCAGTCAACACCACAATGATGGGCGGCATTGCGGATCAGTGGTTAGCACCGATGCCTCACAGCAAGAAGGTCTAGGGTTTTATCCTCAGTTCGAACCTGGGGCCTTTCTGTGTGGAGTTTGCATGTTCTCCTCTTGCTTGGGATTTTTTTTCTGGGTGGGCAGATTTCCCCCACAACACAAAATTATGTACAATAGGTTGCCTTCAGGCCCAACTTCTCAACTTCCTGAGAGTACTCCCAATTTGAAGACTAAGCTGTTGGTATCCTTAAATCGCAAGAGAGCGTGATTGTTAACAACATTCGCTGTGTGGTACACTGGCTCCACCGCTACTGGCAAGAAGAGTCTGCAGGGGGTGATCAGGACTGCTGAGAAAAAAAAAAGGTTCTTATCTTTCCTCCCTGGACAATATCGCCAGCAGCTGCTGTTTCTCCAGGGCAAAGAGGATCTTCAAAGACCACCTTCATCCTGGTCACCACCTGCTCCGCCTGCTGTCCTCCAGCAGAAGGTACAAGAACATTAAGAGCCACACCAACAGACTCAAAAACAGTTTCTTCCCATGAACCTTTCAGAATCTGAAGACCAGCCAAACATCCTAAGAGCAGTAACTACTGTTTTCCTATATGTCTATGTTTCATTTTGTTTTATAGCTTGGCCAATGACAATAAAGGCTATTGTATTGCATTGTATTGTATTGTATTGTATTGTATTGTATTGTATTGCATTGTATTGTATTGTAATATATTGTATTGCAGTGTATTGTGATGTATTGTATTGTAGTGTATTGTATTGTATTGCGTTGCATTGAATTGTAATGTATTGTATTGTATTGTATTGTATTCTTCTGTATTCTGTTAGGACTTCAGTCTTTGGAATGATTGTCTGCTCTCCCATAACCTAACTATGGAAATTTTAGTGCACTTTTATAAACTGATAAATTAATTATCTTCTTAATAAACATTTGATGACAGAGAAACGATGTGCCTTTACCAGCACAAAAATGTGCCACAACCAAAATCCTGCATTTTGGCTCCACTGCTATAAATACTTTTTGTGTTTCTGCTCCAACACACCTTACTCAAATAAATGTCTCATTATTGAGCTCCTGCATAGTCTTACAAGAAGCTGACCTATTTTTTTTTTTAAATCAGGAGTGTTGGAAGAGGGCAATATGCAAGGCTTGAAGACTGGGACTAACTAGGACTAAGAACTGCTGCATTACAGGAAAGAAAAAAAAAAAAAAAAAAAAAAAGAAATATTCTCCCTTGCTGGAAAAATATATCAATCACACAGTCTTGATAAGATGCTTGCATAACTTATTTACAACCTTTTTATGTGCAACGTTATATTGTCTAAGTGATCAGTGAAGCCCTGTTTAAATATTAGACTGGTTCATGTCAGCTCATTAAAATGTGTTTGCAGTGAACACGAGGAACTGTGTGTTCGATAGGAGATCCAGACAGAGGATTTTTGTAGCTGGGTCAGTGTTATTTAAAGACAGCATCTTGGGAACTTAAACACATTCCCTCATACTTCTGTTTTTCCTCCTTTGTCCGACCTTTCTTCTCCATTTCAAGTCGGACTCAGTTTCTATTGTTTCTGCCTCATACAAAACTGAAGGTGATGTAAGAATCGTTTTGAAAATAATGTTGACTGTCAAGCCACTCTTGATCTATTATTAGTTTGATAAAGCAGATTTTGAGGTTTAAACATAATTTAATAAATCTGACAACAAATCTGCTAATTAGGTCTGAATCACAATAATGAATGAACTTTAAGTGCCTATCAAAAATAAACATCCAGAAATTCCTGGAGAACTGAAAGCTTTTTTGATTGTTTATTTGGAGGATCATCAGGAAAACAAAACAAGTGTACTCTCAACCCTGGCTTCAAGCAAATGGATAAATATTTGTCATTTTGATCACCAGATTGAGTGATTTTTAAAGCTAAATTGCCAAGAAAATGTTCCTGAGCAAAAATAGATTAAAAATCCATGTTTCAGTTTTCACGTCCCTTTTACCTGCACACTCACTCACTTTACAACAAACCCAGATGCTGCAACAGTTACATGTATTGACACCAAGTAAAACAAAACTCTGCTAATTCGTTAATTTAGCCAGATATCAGAAAATGGTCATACAACACAATTTTCTATTTCTTCCTCTTCTCTCATTTTTCTCTTTCACATTAACACTCCCGGGACTAAAGGCAGTAGCCTGAAGAGGCAGTTATACCACAAGAAAAAAAAATCAAAGCCAGGGTGGAAAATCTCTGGTGACAGCAATGACATAACTGACTTTTTTTTTGGCATAAAAGGAGTGCTTTCCCCATGAGGAACTTTCTTTTATTACCACAGTGAACAAGCTGTCACCATCTATTAGGTGTGTTATCTCTTTGCAAGCTAGCACCACAACTTACATGTAAATTAAAAGTAGTGATGGCCAATTAAGAGCATGATATAATTATGCAGTTGATGGCAGACTGCTGCTTTTCACTAAAAAAACTAAAGTTAGTTCATTGTCCAAAAAGAACCCAAAGCATTCATTTCCATTAATTTCTTCTTATTGTTTAGATTATTTTTGTAAATTCTGTATCTTTTATGTACTTAGGTGTAAAAGAAAAAGTGCTTTGTTGGTATTTTAAACTAGGGGTCGACCGATACATCGGCCGGCCGATATTTTTGGCCGATATTCACGTTTTTCCTTTGTATCGGTATCGGCCGATACGCGCCTACTCTGGCCGATACAGCAGCCATGCTCTGGGCTCACGTGCGCGCATCCATTACAGCTCCCTCCCCGGTGGAGAGCGGGTGGTGATTTGTGAGACAGAGCACAAATAACAACAAAGGTAAGTTTTCAACTTTTAACTTATTTTAACTGTCTGCTTTAGCTGTATCTTAACTCTGTTTCAGACTATGAG